AAAATAAAGCATTCGCCCCATGTGCAAGAATACATGCCATGCCCACTGTAATACACGTTTATTTTTTTGTATTTACACATAGATGGCTCTACAAGTTCTTAATCACTAAGTAGCCAGTTATCAGAGCCACCTATCTCACCTGTTTACCTTTTTCCTTCACTTTAGGAAAGGGTATTTTGAATACATTTGATATTTGAATGACAATTTAATATTCATAACATCAATAACAATAATAACATCGATAGCAATGGTATCAGTAAGAAAAACACATTTTCCCACCAATTCAAGGAATGGGAAAATCAGGATCGGTAACTAGGGCCTACTGATAGACTCCTTGCCGGATGAGTACATGTGGAGCTATCTGTATGTAACAAAATCCACCAAAAACTACAGAGGACAGAACATGAATCCGGGGTGAGTGGGTTAATAGGCATAGAAAAGCCAGACCTTATGACCCTGAGAAAAAGCACTGAATTGAACAAGGTCTTACTTGTCACTTAGCAATTAAACTGTCTTAAGAGTCATAGGGCCACGAGGTCTGGCTTTTACAATGCCATGGGGCCATGCTAATTCACACAGTTCATTTAAAACTCTCCAGGAATTGTAGTGTCTGTATTCGAATGACACAGACGAACTGACCGAGGAAAAAAGGCAAGAAATGCTCCTTCGCATTAGTGACATGTCGATTCAAACACCAGCACACCGGCATACCGAGCGTTTTCCTTTGCACACCGGAGATTTCGTCGAAAAGTGCCATACTCTGCACTCTTGATTAAACAATCATGTTTTCATCCAAATTCATTAGTAAGTAAAGCCTTCCCTTGATTTTTCGACCTTGTCTCTTCTTGTTCACACGGTTTCTCTGCCACTGTCAAAATTCTCTCTAGTATTCATATCAATTATTTTCTAAGCTTTAGGAGAAAGTCAAAACGTTTCGATCTATTTCTTTTCATATTGTGCATGTTTCATTTCACATATATGTATGTATGTATAAATATATTTATGTCATATGCATATGTATATATATATATGTGTGTGTGTGTGTGTATGTACATATATAAATATATATACATACATACATATATATAAATATATATATATATATATATTGTACATAGATATATATGTATGTATTCATGTATATATTCATGTGTGTATATATATAGGCAGATTGATTAATAGAGAGATAGATAGCTATAAGTATATATGTATATATATGCATATACATGAGGACAATGAGAACTGAATCCGACTTACTGGCATTACTTGATGAACTCTCATTAAATGGGATGTTGTAGGACTCGGAGAAGTTACAACACTTGGTGAAGAACAGAAGATACAAAAGATACTAAATGATGGACACGTGCTCTATTGGAGAGGGAAACCCCGGGGTAGCAAACAGGAATTAGGGGTAGGTTTCTTAGTTCACAAACGTTTAGAAATGAATATCGTGGAATTCTATAGTATAAGCAAAAGAAGGGCTTCAGTAACAATAAACCTAAACAATAGGTACAACTTAAAGATTGTTCAAGTTTATGCTCCAACCTGCAGACACAGTGGCGAAATACAAGAAAACTTCTATGAAGATGTTCATTTAGCCAGCGAGAGAAAAAAAATCATTTCACAATAATTATAAGAGATTTGAATGCCAAAATAGGTAAAAAGAAAGAAGAAACCGTAGTGGGGAGTCACGGAATAGGCACTAGGGATGAGAGGGGACAAATACTCTCAATATCATACTCAATATCATGAATACATTCTTAAAAAAAAGAAAAAAAGAGCGGAAGTGGACATGGAAGTCGCCCTCTGACGTCAAAACCGAAATTGACTATAATTTTAAACAGGCGAGATAAAGTAAAAAATGTGGAAGTTATTAATAAAGTAAACATTGGCAGCGACCATAGAATGGTCGGAGGACAAAATTACACCTCAGAAGGGAAAGGAACAAATTTTGCTAATTTGAAGACCAGAGCGACAGAATTTAACCTTAACAACAGATATTCACTTCTCAGTGACGAAGATCTCAACATTGACAAAATCAACAAACAGTTCAGTGACATAATAAAGGAAACTACACTTGAAGTAGGCGGTAAGAACATTTAACAAAGCTCCAGCAAGCCCTCGTTAGGAACAAACAGTTTATGCAAAAACGTAAGGTCATGAGAGTATCGTCAAACAGGAATAAAATAGAATAAAAAATATCAATCCCCAAATACATTTCTTGCTTCTTGTTACCAGTGATAAGAAAGTGATGCCAGATGTAGAA